CACACACACACACACACACACACACACACACACACACACACACACACACACACACACATACAACAATATAAAAATTCATTTAAAAATTTGTAATTCTATATCATTTTTGCAAATATATTATATCTAAAAAAATGTATGATAAAACATTGATAAAAAAAATCTTTCAATTACAATTGATTCAACTATACAAACAGGTATAATAAAATATTAACAACTATAACAATGTCTATTTGCAGGAAACAGCTCTGACAGCTGAACCAATTTAGTAAGGAATAATTTACATGGCGAAAAGGTGCAAGGAATATCTTTGGTTATTTTCAAGGAATTGATGTTAGCAAGTCAAATAAGCTCATCTGAACATCTTATAGAAATACTTCTCACTATAACGGAAATAATGTAATAATCTTAATAGAAACGAGAGAGAGAGAGAGAGAGAGAGAGAGAGAGAGAGAGAGAGAGAATTTGTAATACAAGAGAAAAAATTTTATTCACACAAACAAATTTAATCATACGTCGCACATACATATACATATTTCTACATATATTATTATAATTTTCAGATACAAAACATTCTCATAAAAAAATTAATTAGGAAGTAAATTTTATTTAAATAATTTGAATAATAATAAACTTTAAAAAGTTGATATAAATTAAAAAAATATTTAATATGTTTTAAATGTTCAGAACATTCGTTGAAATTTTAATGCGTTATCTATAAATTTAATAATCTGCAGAATTATAAAGGAATAAATAAGTGGAGGATAAAGGAATAAATAAGTTTGAAATTTAAAATATTGCAAACTTGTAAGTAAAATAAATAATAATAGTAAGCTATCAAAACCTGTTTAAAAAATGTAGATAGAACCCCACAGACATTATTTCTTTACAAGTCATTAAATTGCATGCTGATAATTATAATAATTCAAACATAATAAAGTTTAATCAGAACAAGATTATCAAAATAATACTTTATACAGTTGCTTATTTCGTTTTCATAAAATTGATAGAACAATAAAATATCGTTCGTTTTTTGAAGTGAAATTTATTTTATATACAGTATGCACTATGCGTAAAAAAGTGTAAAATAAATGTAATAGTTTCGAAAATCTCCATGACACATTTCAATTTTCTCGTAATATTCCAATTTGTTCCATTATGTCAATAAAAACGTTCAAGGTAATCGCCGAGAAAATGCACTTACTGTCAATAAGAAAAGTCGAAGCCATCGGTTGATTCATCGTATTCTTATAACAATTTCAATAATGTCATACTACATTTTTAGTATTAAGTATTTATGGTACAATCATATGGTAAAAACATGATTATTCCAATTTGAAAAAATCATGCAAATTTTCAATTATGTTGGTCTTTTATTTCTTCTAATAAAGAAAAAAGAAGTGAAAGTTATTTCAATCATATTTTTTAAATATATAAATTTTTAATCATATTTTCTGAACATTCTGAATATTTCAATTTTCAAAATTTTACTAGAATAAAAAAATTAAGAATTCCTAAATATTTTCATAATATATTACACAGTTTAGATGTAAACATAAATAATTAGGTATTTTTAAACTGTAAACTAGAAATCAATTGGGGAAAAGTTCAAGCAGAGGTATTTGCTGCTGTTTGTTGTCATTTCAGTAACGATTTTTGTAACGCTACAGGTAAAAAGAATGTAGAATGAAGGGAGTTTTTATTCGACATTGCGTGATTAAGTACTGTCTGTCATAGACGGTGATGGATGGTCGCTGAGCCACGATAAAGGATTAGCTTGATTTTCACAGGTACAGGGTTCCGCACTCAACGGCATAGTCATTACTTTGTTAATTATCAACAGGCAACAGAGCTCATTGTTTACGACATTGTATAATTATGTCGTAGCGTATATTTAAAAATATTATATTTTACTTGAAAATATGTTGTAAATTTAATTATGCAGTCGTTATTCATTGTTTTTATAGTTGTTCGCACAATTTAGATCACAAAAAGTTTTATAATATTAAAAAATTACTAATATTTAAAAAAAAAAGAAAGATATTAAGTAAAAAAAGTACCACAACTTTTAGTCACATTACATATTTCAGTACATAATTCTCGCCTGTACAATTTCAATGAATATAAATATCTACGTTCTTACAAATACACTATTATGATTAATTATACACATATATATTTATCCGTTAAACGTCATCGATTGTACACAATGTCAGTATCACAATCAGTATAAATTATTCATATTAATGATACACGGTCCCTATACATTTAGATCTCTTCGTGTTATAATGGTTAAATGTGCGTGACTATTCACCCACAAACATTGATTGGTCACATTGTCATACAGTTAGGTCGCTATTGCTAGTGAAACAAATGACCTCATAAGTAAAATACTAATGATTTGACTAAAATATGTTTAACCCAAATATTTTTTGTCATAAAATTATTATATATACAATTAAAAGTAACATTAAAACAAATATTATTATTATTGTAAAAATTACTCATATTATTTATAGAAATCTAATTTAAAATAATTTCTAATTTAAAATAGGT